TTTTTTCACCTCCTTTTCCCTGAACAACTGCACCTGGGCTGGCTCTAGTATGTTAAAAGGAACTGTTTAGTGTGTTTACTGGTATTGATCTTTATTTTGTTCAACAGTGGTCTTATCAACAAGAATGCTATGAATGTCATYGGTTAGTACCTCAGATTATAATCATTCAATCAAGATCATTTTAAACTTACTTTTTCAGTAATGTACGTAGATCTCTAAAAGTCTTCAATCTTTAACTAAATTCCAGGAAATGGTGTTGTCATTCATGTGCCACAACTATTCCAGGAACTAGAACAGCTYGAAGCTCAAGGTATATACTTTTTTTATGAGATAAAACACCTATTAGATAGTCTTACATGTACATTTAATCTCAATAAAAATGATGMACTATATGAAGTTGGCATGCAACAATTATAATTAAATTTCTCAAATTTGTGTTAAGGCTAAGTAGCTAAAGTATCTGCAATTTCTTATATTTTAGGAGTTACTGAATGGGATAAAAGACTGATCATATCTGACAGAGCTCATCTTGGTAAGTGTCTCCAGCTCAAAGTGCTCAAAATTTTACATACATGTGTAACATGTACATGTACTACTAGGTCCTTTTGAGGAATGATTCTTTAAATTGCTTTCAGTAAGTTCATTAGTTTTAATTTATAGGATTAAATACACACATGGCACTTAGCCACAATGGTCGGAGCTCACATATTTTCAAAAATTGTTGGTAATRCCTTGAATGATATTTTTTTGTGAAAATTATAGTTTTTGATTTGCATCAAGAAGCTGATTGTCTCAAAGAGTCAGGAAAAGCAAGGTTTGAAAAACTTGAATACTTGAATAATGTCAAATTATCCAGAAACCTATAAGGGACTTGAAACATGTAGTGTTGTGCCATCCGTTGGAACTTTCAAAATCTAATTTGCATCTCATTTCCTTATTTGGAACAATTCAATTTACCCTAGCCAATCAGAACGGCCCTTAAATCTCTTATCCAACGGCCGAATTTTCCGAATATGGTCATTATGCTCATTTTGGAAATTTTAAGTGAACTTTGAATATTCTGACACTTGGTACTAAAGAAACGTACACGCGCTACACATTTCAAGTCCCTCATAGGTTTCTGTTATCATCARACACATTAGTGGGTGCTGCCATTCAAGAAAAATCAAATCATGTAAAGAATTGCCCACATAATACATGTACTACTGGCAGTAAACCTTGGATTTTCTTGCAAAATGTACATGTTCACACTATCAAAGGGATTGACACTGGTTTTGTGGCAATTTTTGCTGGGATTTTCTGGGCAGTTTTTGAAAATGTAATAGATTTTATCTGATCCTTCTGAAGAGACATTTAGTGTCKAGCTCATCTAAGTGTAAATGAATAAGACTATGCGAGTTTTGAATTTATTCTCTAGGATCAAAATGACTTATAAAAACAATAATTTCCAGTGTGAATCAGGCTATAAATTATTCAATTGTTCCCTTAATGTGTCCTAACTTTATTAAAAGTATTATTTCTTTGATTGACTTTAGTCTAGGCACAACTAAAAAGGGAATTGGTCCGGCCTATGCCTCTAAGGTAAGTATAAAGTCAAATTGAACTTCKAATCAACACTGAACAAGARCAAGAACCTGTTTCATTGTAGGCACAAAGACTAAATCTCAGAGTTTGTGATCTTGTTGGAAATTTTGATGTTTTTTCAGAAAAGTAAGTAGATGTTGTCATGTTTTTGTATCATGTTTTGTTCCTCTAATGGAATTCGTGTTGTTACAAATACTGTATCTCGTGCATCTGAAAATATTC